TCAAAGACTTCCCATTATTTAGTTTTAAGTTTCTTGTAATTTTGCTGAAACTCCATAGTGTTTCTAATCAGCTATCCCATGGGACTCTTTCAAACATAAGTGTTTGATGGACATTTTTTTGGTGTTCTTTTTTTTTTTGTTTAAAAAAAAGTCTGTTTTTTGAGCATAAATATAAATACATAAGGTCATCGGCCTCCCCTCCTGGCTCCCCCTCCCCCTCGAGCCTGCAGACATGTTGGGAGCCATTAGGGCTGGCCTCGCTTTGCTCAGAGGCATGTTATTCATTATCTGCATTTTTAAAAGCAGCAATAAAAAGCGGAAAAATGAAAAACACCGGCCGTGGCCTAATGAAACTGTCATTCAAAGGGGCTGATCGTGCTTCCTGCCGCGTGGTGTGATCTGAAGGGAACCTGGACCAGGGGCCTGTCCCGGCAGCCCATCAAACGCACCGCGTACAATTTCAAAGCCCATGGCCCGGGGAGCGAGTTTGCGTTTCCCCTCGCTGGAAACTTTATTCCCCTTGAAATGATGAAATATTTCAGAGGAAATGGGGAAGGGGCGGCGGAGGGAGCACCGGAGAGGGGCGGGGGGGCTGTTTGCTGAGCCCTGGCCGTAAAACAAGAAAGGGTGGTTATAAATATCTGAGCAGGTACCTTGGCCATAAATCTGCTAGCCGGGCATCCCCGCGGGGCGGCCGCTGGCTCCCAGCGGCTGGAGCACAATCCCGCAGTGTTCCCGCGGCGGGGCTGGGGGGCCGGTCATCCCCGGGGGATGCGGGAGCCGGGCGGGCCCCTTCCTGCAGAGAGGGGCTGCAGACCCGAAAGGGATGCGAAAGGTGCAGGGGTGCGTTTGGGGCTGGTGCTGCTCCTAAAATCCCCCAGGAAGGTGGGCGAGGGGAGAGCTCACGGGGTCGTAGTGCCTCCGGTGGGAGATGCCTCCCCAGCAGATACGGTGCACGGCATGGGGATGAAGGGTGAGATTTTGGCCAAAGCCATGAGGATGAGTGATTTTGGAAACCCCCAAATCCCACCCTCACACCTGTGGTACCCAGGGTCCGAGCGCTGAGACCCTCTGGCAAACAGACCCCTCTCGAGCATCCCCCAGATCACGAGATGTTTCAGAGAGCTGCTCTCCCACCCCTGCGCCCAGCAGGTCAGGAGCATCATTTCAGTGCCAAACCTCCCCGAACCCTCATACCAACACAGACACCGCACACGCAGGGACCCCCATCCAGGAAGAACACACCAGCTAATGCACCGTGGGGTCCCAAAATCCCCCCAGGAGGAGCGGGTCCCCACCCTGGGCACAGCAATAACCCCACGGGAGGGCCCTCAACGGGTGGGATGGGATGAAGCGGGAGCAAACACCAGGACAACAGGGACAAGGGGCCGTGAGAGCCAGGAGGGACTGGGATGAGTCCTGGAAGCGGGCTGGGGGACAGCGGTGACATTAAGGTAGCAGGCAGGACGGTTTTGCTCAGCCTCAAGCACCCCTCGAGCCGGTGGGGAGCAGCCGGGGCTTTAGGGGGGCTCCTCTGCTGCTCACCCCGAGGATGGAGCCATCTCTGGAAAGCGCAGAGGGTTTTCTGTTCAGGCACAGCGGGGACACGGGGAGCCAAAACCTCTCTCTTGCTTTCAATTCCTTTTCCTTTTTTATTTTGCAATAAGAACTCAAATGTCTAGAGCAATTTGTGGACTTAATCACTCCCCGAATGTAACATTTTTTTAAATCAAATCAGCTGTTAAACAGCACAAGCATATGAAACCAGTAAAACTTCTATCTCTGTTTGATGTTTTACAATTTGAGAACACACACAGGAAAAGGACAATTTTGGGGGCGGTTGAGTTGTCAGGTTGTTGGAGTTTTGGGTTTTTTTTGCAAGACAATTGTTCCCGAGCCGAGGCCCTACTGTGCCAAGTCAGAACGGATTGCCGCAGCCAAATCTGTCCCCTCTGTGTCCCTCCCCAAATGCTGCCGGTGACAGTGACAATAACAATTTCTAGCGTGGGGACATCCCCACCCCTCTCCCTCCAGCAGCAGGGAGGCAGGCAGGGACCCCTGCCCACACCCCGGCACAACCAACCTGTCCCCAGACGTCCCCTCTAGCATTCCCACAGCCACTTCTGCTCCCCGAGGTTGTGCAGCGACGCATCCCTGCATCCCACAGGTACCCGCAGCATCCCTCACACATGCATCGAGCTTCTCCAATCTCAGCAAAAGGAAACGCCGCATCCCCAAAGCTTGGCCTTCACCAGGCCAAGAGCAAATGACCCGGGGAGGAGGACGAGCCATCCCACACCCCAACCCACGTCCCCGTGGCCAGGCGATGGCTCGCACCTACCTATGCAGGTCACCCCGTCGGAGTGCAGCAAAAACTTGACGTGGCAGCCGCACTTGGGCCCCTGGTCGGTGTCGTCGCAGGTGTGCTGGCAGCCCCCGTTCCCGTAGTTGCAGGTCACTGCAGGAGGCAAAGCATCGGCCCTCAGTCAGGGTCCCAGCCCCTCTCTTCCCCAGAAGCAGCATAAAACCAGCTTGGAAAAACCTCATCCATACCCTCCGAAAGATCCCTCCCTCCAGGGTAATTCCTAAAGCCCTCTGACTTCCCCTGCGGGGTCTTGGCAGATGCGAATTGTGATGTGGTTTCTGGTGTCTTCCCTTTGCATATCTAAATGCCACCTGAGCGCAGGGCACAGGTGGGCTGGTTGCTCCTGACCCTGGATCTGGTGTTACAGGGGAAGGGTGGGACTCCCCTGAGCTCTGGAATGACTCAGGTGCTCCTGGGAATCCCTGCCAGCCCTCCCCGGGGGGCAAGGAGTACTGTTGGTGTAGCTTGGAGGGAAAATAGGCTTGTAGGATTAAAACTCCATCTCATCAGCGATTTTACACGTTTGCTGCAGACAGCAAATGAGAAACAAAATAAAAATAGTTGCATAAACACATACATATCTATTTAATAATCCTGGCAGTGCCAGCGAGATGCTGGCAGGAGATCAGACGGGCTGAGAGCACCACAAACCCCCAGGGAGAGGATTCCTGCGCTCCTCCCGTGCCCGTCACACTCTCTCTGTTTATCTCCCCTTAGGAAAGTGAAGCTGGTGGGACCCGGACAAGGGGATGTTGCACCTCTGGGACCCCCTTTAACTGCCATTTCAGTCCACTCAGCGTAAGGGCACAGTGTCTCTTGGCAGAGGGGGATGCCAGGAGCATCATCTAAAAAGGCAACAGAACAGAGCTGGGCATGCCGGAGGAAAATGAAGCCAGGGGGCTTCAGACTTGATAAATCAACTACAACTTGGGGGGGGATCAGGGCTTTGCAGCAGGGCCAGGAGGTGTCTGTACCATGGGGACAAGGTTAGAGGTCCCCGGGAGGCTGTACCCCCATCCCTGGGGCACTCCTTACGTTTGCAGTCACGCTGGTTCTTGGTGAGCTCGAAGCCGGGGCGGCACTCGCAGGCAATGCCCCCCTTGGGGGTCTCCCGGCAGATGTGGGCGCAGCCGTGGTTCTTGTTCATGCAGTTCATTCCTTCTAAAAGAGAGAAGGAAGGAAAGAAAAGCTCCAAAAGTTTGCTGGCACTGGTCCGTGGTGGCAGAAGGATGTCTGGGGTGGGATGGGGATGGGGGCAACAAAGGGAAAATCTTAGGGGGGACAGGATAACCCCAGGCAATGCCTCGAAGAGCAACACCTCCTGGCACAGAGCAGCTCGGGAAGGTGGACAAAGCCACCCTGGGGCTTGAAACATTTGATTTCCTCCCATTGCCTTGGGTGAGACCCTGCTCCTACGCCTTGGGTCAAGCCGTGGGTGCAGAAACTGCGGCTGTCCACCAGCCCTGCCTGGGCAGGAGGGGGGACGGAGCGATGCAGCTCCTTTTCGGAAGGTGCGGAGGACAGGGCGAGCGTGGCTGTGATTGCGGAGCCCTGGGCAGGCAGTTGTGGCGTTGCTCTGCTGAGAAAGGAAGGGTTTTTGGAGGGCAGCCCTGGAGCTGCTGGCTGGGATGAGCCCCGGGGCCGTGCCCGTTGGCTCTGGGATGAATTGTCAGCTCGGGGAGGATCCACACGCCGGCAGCCCTTGGGGAATGAGGGTTTGGGGAGCTGCTGGTTCCTGTTATGGGAGCTGCCGTTTCACCTTCCCTGACCTGCCCGCAGCCCCCTCCTGCCCCAGCCTCTCTTGGGGCACAGGGGCAACTGCAGAAAGCTGGGTTGAGCAGATGCCGAATGGAGCATTGCCACTTTATGAGATATTAAACAAAACCCACAGCAAGCCAGGGGTGGCCCTCTGGGAGATGTAACTGCCTGCTCAGAGGCTTTTTCTGGCAGAGGGAGGGGGTCGGCTCCTTTCCAGGCACCCAGTGCTGAGCCCACCATGGGTACACGATGCCAGGGGTAGGATGGGGGAAGGCAAAGCTGCAAACCAAGAGCCTGGGGCAGAAGGGTGAGGGAAGATCTTTATGGGGTCAGGGCACCTCGAAGGAGGATGCTGAGATGCATCAAGCATGCACAGGAAGGGTTAAAAACCACAGGCTGGAGCCTGTGGGTGTCCCAGGCTGCTCCCCATCACCTGCCCCACAGATCCCGCCTGGCTCCGCTCCAGGACAGGGCGATCATCCGTAACTGCAGTGGCGGGCGAACCCTCTGTAATTAGTCTCTCTCACCTCCAACCACACCAGCCCTCCCTTCCCTGGCCTCGGCGTTAGGGCTGGGAACCCCCAACCTGCAGGGAACCCTGGTCCATCCCCCCAGGGGCTGGGATGCTGCTGTGAGCCCCCCGCACTTCACCCAGCCCTGTCCTGGGACCCCCCCCAAGGCACGTGATGCCCCAGGGATGCCAGGGACAGCCAAGTGCTCTCAGCCTCTCCTCCAAACAGCGGCTTTTCTCTCCCCCTCTATTGCTGCGCTTTACTACCTGGCAGCATCTCGGCTGCATCCTGAGTACCAGGGCGGACACAGAGACCTCCCAGGCTGACCCTGCCCTGCCACACCGCTGCTCCCCCAGAGATGTCACCTTCCAGAGAAGCCAGATCCCGACTACTGGCCGTCTGCAGAGATCCCCTGGCACATCCCAGCGGAAACACAAGCTCCAGCATGCACATGCCCTGGCTTCCCTCCAGGCCAGGATGGCCGCACGTTGTTTTCCTAAGACTCCCCAGGCCATTCCACCCGGGCACGGCATCCTCCTCCGCTGCACGCCGCTGGGACACAGCAATCCCTCAGTGCCTACAGCCACCACCCAGGAAGGGAGCCCCCGAGGTTTGCACCCCCTTTAATCCTTCCTCTCCCTGCACCGTCATCATCTGCTCTTGCACCGGCACTGTGTGAAGACCCTGCTTGACCCTTTTGCTTTTGGCGGCTCTGCTGTCATCGTCGGGCTGAGAGTGACAGGTTTTAAAGGCACCGATACCCCAGTGAGCCCCAACCTTGGCCTCTCCTTACTGGGAGGGACTGGCCAGTGTGAGGGAGAGGGTCGTGGTGCTGTCAGAGGGAGCCCTGGGGTCCATCCCCTGTGTCTCCTGACCCAGCAGCATTTCATCTCCTCTGCATCAGGAGGGAGAGAAGAAAGCAAGAGGGAGATTGAGAAAGAGAGAAAGAGCAGAGGGAAAGGAAAAAGCCTCCTGCCAGGGTAGGAGGAGAGAGACAAGGAGCTGGCAAGGACCCCAGAAGGAAGGAAACAGCCATAACGTTGAGGTTTAGCTCTCTAATACTGAATGCTTCTGCCTTGGCAGTGCCCAAGAGCCAGAAGCAAAGTCAGAACAGGCTTTAACATCGGACCCCAGATTGTCCTCAGCTCTCTGCTTTTTCCAGGCTCGCAGCCCAGGGACCAGCTGCAACCCTCCCACCCTCATCCTCAGCAGCCGCTCTGGAGCCTGAGCTCGGGGATCACGTAGCAGCTACAAGATCAGTCTTGGGGTGCAGAAGCAACAGAGACATCCCCAAGCCAACAGCACTCTGCAACCGTTCAGCTCAAAAAGTCAGCTCAAAACCCAGCACCTGCATCCCAGGGCCACCCACTGCGTCACTGGGAGGAAGGAGCAGCCAGCTCGTCCCTCCCGGGCACACAGGGGATGGGGACATGGGAGATGCCACCGTGGCTGCTGAACCGTCCTGGGCTGGGTGAGGTTCCCTGGGGAGCTGGAGGGACCGACACAGCTGGGAAGGGGGAAGGAGGGAAGCAAAAACACTCAGCTGGTTTTGCCAAGCAGTAGAGATAAAAATCAGCAGAGATGCAAAAATCTCTCATTTCCTCCTATTTTGGCTAAGGGATTGCTCCAGACGGCAGCAATTTAGAGCTGATATCGAGACGAAGGGCTCGGTGCTGCGCAAGACCTGGCAGGAGAAGAGTCTTGCAGGGTGGCGTGAGGATCTCCGGGTACCTTTTGTTTAATAAAACGCTCTGGATATAGGATTAACGTCCTCCGTTTGGTATTATTGTGCTTGACTAAGGGGCCTGAGAGGGTTTTGTGATGGAGATGTTTATTAGCCCTGTGGCATCCTCTCCCAACGTGCTCATAATAAATTTGCTTTTAAATTTGCAGCACTGGGAAGGGTCATGAACCAGCACCCAAAGGCAGGCACGGTGCAGGGGTGGCCAGGGGTGAAGGGGCACAGACCTGCCTGATGAATGCAGGGGATGGAGGGTGCCCCAGGGCCGGGAGACGCTGAGCACTAACCTTCAGGGCGCTGGATGCAGGTGTGCTGGTTGTCACTGAGGAAGAAGCCCTCCCTGCAGAAGCACTCGTAGCTGCCCATCATGTTGACGCAGGTCTGCTGGCAGCCGCCGTTGCCCTCTGAGCACTCGTCCAGGTCTGTGAAGGGAAGGAGACAGGGGCTGAGCAAGGCACCGCGACAGGCCGAGGGGATGGGGAACTGGGCGTCACAGATTTGCTACATCTGCGAACCCCCAGCTAGAAGAAAGGGGGACGCTCTAGGGCTGCAGGGGATGAAGGCAAAGCACGTCACAGGGTGGGTCACAGAGGCCATACAGCTTCCCTGGCTGGTGGACTAAAAAAGATCTGGCCTCATTTTACATAAGGGAACACCAAACCCCAGGGATTTTCCTTGTCCTGGGACCCCCAAAGCATCCAGAATGCTTGGCCAGGCTGCTGGCTGCAGCTGCCCCCAGCTCCCAGCCCCTCTGAGCCCGTCGCCGGCTGGGGATGCCTGCTCTTCATTAGTGGGAGCTGGGAAACCTTAGCCCAGAGCAGGGATAATTACTTGTAAGGAGACTCAAATCCCCAGCAGTTCTGCTGCCCTTGTGCCTGTTTTGGTTTAACAAACCAAGGCTGGAAGGGGCTCGGGATGTGCCCCCGTGGCAGCGGCGATGCCCTTGCCCTGGGCTTCTCCTGCTCTATCCCCGAAAATGCCTCATTTAATGAAGAGCGACTGCCTGTTGCTCTCTCCAGAGGGTTTTTGGGGTCAGTGGTCCAAGCTGAACCCATTGATGCTCCAAGGTGCCGGAGCAACCAGGGTGATGAGCTTGGGCAGAGACACAAACCTCCTCCACAGGCCCCCCCTGCCCCCTCTGTGCGCAGTCCCGGGGCCAGGTGATGATGTCGGGCTGGGGAGCAAGTGGCCCTGTGCCAAAGAAAACCTCCCGTGAACTCGAGCATGGCAGAGCCGGCAGCCGAGGGGAAAGCTGAGCCCCATCTCCATCGACTGCCGGAAACGCCAGAACAGCGGCTCGGTGACAGCACGTGCCGGGGGGGGCTCCCAGCCCCAGCCCCCCCAGCACCACCTTCCTCCCCGAGCACCACAGCACACACCGAAACCCCTTGTTTTTGGGCAAAGAGATGGCTGGACAGATGGATGCCAGAGCAGTGCGAGTGCCTTACACTGCGCCCCAGCCCCAGGCAAGCCCCAGGGTGTGCTGCAACCCCCGGGGGATGCTCAGAAATCAGAGCAGGGCTGCAGCTCCAGCTGGAAACTACGGGAACAGAGGCCAGGAGCATCCCACAAACCTGCTACCTTGGAAAGGAGGTGTTGAAAACATCATCTCAGACCCAGGTGCCCGTGGGGCAGGCGAGGGCTAACAGCCGGGCTGCAGCCAGGCACAGAAGGGACGTCCTCTGCGATGGCAGGAGGCTTGCAGCTTCCTCCAAGCTCATCCCAGCCAAGCTATGTCCTACAGATGCCAATAACTCTCCTCAAATCCCCCCACTTATAACAAGGGCTTAACGTCTTGCGACTTCTCCTTCAAGCTCCACACAAAAATGAGGAGGCAGCCGTTCAAACCCGATGGCTGAAATGAGACTCCGCCACTCTAATACCTGTTTTATTAAATGTGATGGAGATGGGCAGAAGCCAGCAGGGCCTGTGTCAGGATGGGGGCTCGAATTCCTGTCCTGGTTCAAAAGGTCACCCAGGGTGGGCAATGGGGTGACCGGTAGGCTCCGATGGGCACATACCCTGACCCATCTCCGGCTCAGCACTGCCCACAGTGCCAGCAAAGCCTGGGCATGACCCTCTGCTTCATTCTGCTTCTCTTTCTTTTGGCTAAGAGGAGATTCTTGCAGGCTGGGCAAAGCACAGTCAGGATGGGGGGAAGGAGGGTGGAAAACACCCATCGGGTTTCATTCCTGCTGCCCCCCAAAAGCAGCCACTGAGCAAACCCAGCCGGAGCACAGAGGGTCTCAACATCCTCATCTGTAAAATGGGCTCCAGGGGATAAACCTGCACCATCCCTATGGCAAAGCAACGCAGCCAAGCTGCCTCGCTGGGATGAGCCAAGGAAGGGCTCAAGGGGGGAGCCAGGGCTGCCCCCCTAGGCCCCCCCTCGCCTGGCTGTGCCCTGGCTGCCTCCATCCCCTCCCACCCAACTCTGTAAACACATGACGTCTGCGGCTCGCCAAACCCGGCTTTCCTTTCTTCTTCCTCGGGCTCATCCTCCCCCGGGAGAGGAAGGCAGAGCCGCCCGCCCGCGCCTCCTCCCAGCTGTGTAAATCTCCCCCTTCTCCGAGGAGGCTGCAAAGATCCCGGTGATGGTGGTTAATGCAAAACGTATGTGTCCATAATCCCTTCCCCCTCCTCCTCCTTCCAGTGATGAGCTCATTAATGACCCTTCTGCAGACACTAATTAGAAAATAGCCTGAGCTCCAGGCGGAGGGAAGGCGGGCGGCCCCATGCCCCGGCGATCCCACTCGCGGGTGCTGCGGGAGGAAGCGGGTGCCGGGGTGCGGGCAGCCCGGCCGGCCCCGGGGCTCTGCCGGGAGCTTTGGCTTGGCCGCAGCCGGATGGAGTTTGGGGCGGTGGGAAGTGGCGGGAGG